CACCTTTCCTTCCTGCACGGAGCCAATTCTTCTCCTCCAAAAGTCACCGGCTGTTCTGAGCACACCAGAAGCTGCTCAGAACAATTTCTGGCTCCTCTCTGAGTCTTTGGAAAGTACCTGCTTTATCACTGGCTGTTTCTGCAAATAGATCTATACCAAGTCATGTGGCTTTGCTTATTTGGCTTCAGGTTTTCTGCCTACACAGCAAATTTGGGCTCCCATCTCAAAGGTGAAGGCAGATGATACTGTCCACCCTGTCATAGCAGGAGTTCAGTTATCTTCAGCAAAGCATGGAAAAAGTGTGCAGTTTCCCAAATGCAAGGATTCCACAGAGCCTGCACTCAGGATGAAACACTCTTGTCAGGTATTACCCTATGATGCTTAAGCAAAGCTCTGTCACAATGTCACCCAGCTAATATCCAAGTGAAAGGAGAGCTGCTTATGCCAGCATTGATTCATGACCAATGAAGGGGCATAGCATGCTGCTGCCTGTGATCAGGAAGTGTAGCCAGCAGGTTTTGCTTGTACATGCCCACTCCCAACCCAAAGGGAGGAAACCTGCTGTTTCATTTATTGTCTATCAGTAATGACAAGCACTGGGCACAGTGACTTTCCACCTTTGTGCTGCATTGTAAGCATTAACATTGGAGAGACTCCTATCTGATAATTGCAGTCCATTTACCAGCCCTGTTTGATACGTGTGGAAGCCAATGAAGAAAGATGAAGTGACACGTGCAGTGCTCCCAACAAAAGATCTCTTTAAAGCTAGGCACTCTGGGTGACTGGAACTAGACCCTGGTCACCAAAATCCAACCAGATACAGCACCCAGTAGATGATGCTGCCATGTCCCATGCTCTCCCCTCCCTTCTATGCCCCAACTCATTTCTGACAGTTTTCCTCATCCTCTTCTAAAAATAGATATATGTTTTTCTACATGGTTGCATTGTTTTGGGTTTTTTGTTTGATTTCTTTTTTTTTGGCATCACCCCAAAACCCAGGACCATGTCTGAGGACCCAGGTTTCCAGCAGATACTGCAGAGACTAGAGGATTTCAAGGTTGTTCCTGAAGCCTCTGTTATCAGTGAGATTTGCTAGGCTGGGCCATACCACACTGTCTGAGAACACAAAGTCAGAAATGAAAGAGGAAAGAACAGCTTGTGTGAGAAGCCTTTTACCCAAAAGGAGGGAGTGAGCCACAGTGAATGCCTTCAACACAACAGTGTTGTGAAATCCTGAGGTCATCAATTAGCCTGGCCATGGGGTAAGGGATGAGCAGAGCAGGCAGGACCATAATCTGGTGCACCTGCAGGTACGTTCCCAACTGCCCCAAAAGAAGAGAGCTCCTGGGTAAAACAGCCTAATGACCATTATTTCCAGGAACACAAGTAACTTATCTGTAAACATCACTCCCCCAACCAGGAGTTAGCTGGGAAAAAAAAAGGGGGGGTCTTTGGAGAGAGGGACTAATTACATAGCGCTCAACAGCTGGACTTTGATCATAATTACAGTGCCTTCTTCATCTTACATTAGTGGCTTTCAGCTGCAGATAGGTGGGCACCTTGTGGAAGGTGGAAATCTTGCCAGTTTCAGATAGCTAGCTCATTTTATGACTCGGAGGTAGCACAGGATGAGCTCCCATGGTACTATCCAAACAAGTAACTCATGGGGGTCAGTGACTTAACACTTCAGCACAGGTGCTTCTGTCCTTAAAGCAGCACCTTCCCAGGCTCAGGAGCCAGAGCACTGAGCATACTTAAGCACTGATTTCAACCATTTCATGCAAATCTCTTTATAGGAGAAGCAGAAAAATGTTGAGGGTTTTGCTCAACTCTTGTTATTGCTGAATTTTAGCATCTCATCTCTCTCTGTTTAGGAAGAAAGATGAGCCCCCTCAGGATATACCTTTCTAACCTCAGTTCTGACATTCCCATACTACATTTGCATCCCTTGCTTCTGCACAGGCATGTACATCCCTGTCAATGCCCGGTGCCCTTCTTCCAGCTGGGCTGCAGCTACAGCACTAAACTCCAGTGCCCACAGTGACAAGCAGGGTTGTGAAGGAGGCTGCTGTCCTGTACCCCAGCTGAATTGCTTGTACTTTTGTGTGATGCAGGGAGTCCTTTGCTTTGATACCAACATTTACAGGGAAATAAATAGACTAAATGGGAGCGGGCTGATGAGACAGAGGCTAAGTGGCATAAACAGTAATACACAGTACTGGGAGTCTGGACACCCAGCTGTTTTTCCTCATTTGTATCACTGAATTACTGTATTGTTTGGATAAATCGTAACAGTAGCGCAGTTCCACTGCTGTGAAATGACAGGCAGTAAGTATACAAGCATTATAATGGCACATTAATTAATGCTCTTAACCATGATCTGTATTCACCTCTTGACAGGGGGCATGTTTCAGCTGGCTCCCACATCATCTGCCTGCTGGATGCCCCCAGAGTGAGGCGATTAACAGATGAAGCAATGACAAAGGGCAAATTTAAGCCACAAATCTTAGACCTATCTGGGATTCATAACTTATTCCCCCTCCACACTGACCTACAGGGAAATCTGTGTGACACACCCACCCACCCATTTTAACAGGGTTTCAAACACTTTTCACTATTGTTATTTTGCCAGCATGCCTCAGCTCAATGTTACAATTTGCAGTTTAGATTATTACTACATGTAATTTTAGAGTTGCAAAGAAGGACACTGGTATTAGCTAAATAAAGCACTTTGACTGCATCAAAGCTAAAGTGTTTCAAACTGTGTAAAATAAATGCAATTATAAAACTATTCAGTTTTGTTGAATCAGTCAGACAAATGTCACCCAGCACATCACGAATATCTGACCAACAGAGCCTAAAGCTGAAGACCATCTATATCTTCAGACTGAGTAAAGTATCTCAGCCACTGGTCAAATGCCGCTCCCGGCTCATGTAAACAGACATGCATAACAGCTGAGACACATTACTCTGAGCTACATCTCGATCAGGTTTTATGACTGAAGGGTGTCACAAACTCTATCTGTCCCAAGCTGTCCTGAGGCTTCCCACACTGCAATAGTCACTTAAAAACTCATCACGCTGCCAAAGCATGTGAAAAGGAGCTGCATTTCTAGTGAAGGGCCTGACTTGCTGGAGGATGCAGGTTTGAAGGGAGAGAGGCCCATTTAAGAAGTCCTACAGAATGCAGCCAAGGGATTATTTTTTTCTTTAATTCCTGCTTCAGATGGGTTTTATTTGCCTGAGCTGCAGCACCAGTTTCATGAACCTGCTCTTTAGCACGGGATGGGATGTGATTGGCAGGAGTTCACAGAGGCTAGGAAGCTCTCCCAGAGCTCAGCTACACTTCCCAATGCATCTTTATGATGTATTTATTCTTTTATTTTTATTTAAATTTTATATTTGGGAATTCTCCTGACTGTGGCTTCCAGCCACTGAAACTTATTTGTCTGGTAGAGAGCCCACTGCTGCCAGCCCAAATCTGCCTTCCCAGGTGGGCATGGCTCTCATACCGCTCTTCTCCCAGACACATGCACATCCTCACAGGATCAGCGGGGTTGGGTGGATTTGCAGGAGATCAAAGAATGGCTGCATGTGCCTGGCCAGCCCTGGGGCTTGTGCTGTGGAAGGTCTTGCAGGGGAATCCAATACCCCCGGCTTCATGCCATATTCCTCTGCCACAGCAGCACAGCCAAGGACCGTGTCCTATTTCCCAGCTCCCCTCCTCTTGTTCCCCTTTGCTGGCCCCAAGTATGGCCCCACCTCACTGTCAGGTCTCCACACTCCTCTCCAGGACCTTCACACAGTGGTGTCACCAAGCATCCAGCAAACTGAGGGGGAACTAACACCCCAACAAACATTGCAACACATCATGATATCATGGGGGGGAAAAAAAGGATCACAAAGCTGCCTGTAATGCTGTGGCTCTTTCTTCAACGGACAGCTATACAACACAAGCAGCCTGCCCCGGTACCCTGCAGATGATGCAGAGTTAATAGTTAACCCTTCCGGGAATCAAATGCCTTAGTGAGACACCAGGCAGGGCTTTTTCAAAATACAGCCAGAAACTAGCCTTAAAGTAGCTTGACAAGTGACTGTGTTCAGAGGATTTCACCTCTCTGAACTTTATGACTGGAAAAATACCATCTACATGTCATTTACATGCTTAAATATAGTATCTTCTATTGGGAGAAACAAACAAACTGACAATGTGATACTGTGATACCTCCTGCAGACATGCTCTTTTATCTGCTGGAAAGTTATAAAACTCAGGATAACAACAAAGCTAAAATAAGAGTGGCTGTCAGGCTCTGAGGTTGGCTGTTAGACAGAATGAAAAAATACTCTTGGAAAAGACTCTCAGAAGGCAGTTGTTTTCTTCTCCAAATGTTTTAAATGATTTATTTATTCTTTAAATTCCAAAATCCCAGAGTTTAAAAGTTAAGCTCATATTCTTTCCAGGAGCTTTTTCTTTTAAAGGAACAAATAAACACAGTACAGAAAGCTAAAGCAATTCCTGCACTACCCAAAGCAGAGTAACTGTCTGCTCCAAAACACGGGGAAAAGATATTATCAGCTTTCGTGTTATTTAGCTTGGGTATTTTTTTTTCTCTAATGCCAAAGAGGAAAAGGGAGATATCTGAAACGGATGCCTATAATTAAACAGTAACCTGTTAGAAAGCCAAAAATAATAATAAGCTCCACTGAGCATGAAGAGAGCAGCACATTTTTTCTGCGTGCAGCCCAGCTGCCACCGGATGATAGCAGAAAAGTTAACAATTACACAAGACACTCAGATCAAACCTGTGATAGGAGAGAGTTACGTCACGCTCAGAAACTCACCGCTGGATGCAGGAATCAGGGTAGTACTGCAAGGTGGTGAAAGGTGGTGGTGGTTCAAAATTCATTTCCTTCGAGCCCTTCTTTGGGTACAAACCAAAATAAAATAAATAAATAGATATAAAGCCAGCAGGCTAAAAGCAATAAGGTCAAGTGGTACATGAGGTACAACTTTAGAGATTTATTTTACACTTGCGAATGGGTGGGATCTCCCAGGGCCTTGGCCAATGGGATTCATCAAGTGACCTGAGCATCACCGCCAGTCCCTCCTCACCAGCTGGGCATCTTCTGCACAGATACTTTCCCCTCCTCTCAACATCCTTAATAAACTTTGTTGCACGCCAGCCACACTTGTTGTTGGGAGCTCATCTGGGGCATCTCTGAACTTCTGATCTCACCGGTCATTGGTTGCCTTCCTGCCTGACTTCACAGTTTAATTTTGGCAGCTCTTGCAATTTTACAAACTGCTGTGGCCGCTGGTCATCCTCATCTCCAGATGGCCGGAGTTTCCTCTTCTGGGTGCAGCTCCCGTGCTGCATTTCATTGTGCTTTGAAAGCTTTCCTTGTCAGCTCTGTGGCTAGTACCTGCGCAGAGTTGCCTGGGGAAATGCTCAGTTTCTCTCACACCATAGTTCAAACAGTCTGTTGTGGTCACAGTTTCAAAAGCTGAATGACAAAACATGGGGAAATTCCTCAATTAAAATTAACTCTGAACTTTTGCTCCTCTGCCTCCCCTGTCCTCCTCCCCCCAAGAAAACTTATATTTGTGATTGTCAATGATATTCCCTGTATCTTTTTACTTTATTTTCAAAGAGAATTGAGACAATATAGAAATCTGTCTTTGTTTTAGCGTTCTGTAAATAACATATACATTTTCCATATGAAAAGCAACAATATCTCAGTATCTTCAAATATCTTGAGAAAAATATAAAAGTAAGAAGGAAACAGAAATAAGACATTTTTCAGGCCCCTAAACCTAAAGAAGCAAAAGTGAATCCCACCAAAATAAACTACCAAAGATGAAAAGAAGATTGAATTTTCCTGAAAATAGAGGATAAAAACCAGGAAGAAAGGCTTCAGCTCCTGCCCTCCCACCCCTTTTTTTAAGTATCACAGAAAATTATTCAGGAAAGCAATCTGTTTTATCCCCGTTTTCCCCCCTGCACGGTTCATCCAAATAGTACAGGCTGTAAACCTATCCTGGTTTTGTGGTTTTGGAGAATGAATGAAATATGAATCAGGAGCTAAATTAAAATGGATTCCAGCAGGAAAAAAATAGCGTCCATGTATCTATGCACCAGTGGGATTGCATCTTCAAGCAGATGTATATGTTTGTGTGTACAAAGACAGGGGAAGGGGGTGCCCTAGAGCTCACCTACAGTGCATCTTTCATGCCCGTGTCAGCACAAATGCCAACATCCCAAGCAAAAGCCAGGAGCTGTCCGAGATGGCAGCAGTTGCTTCTTGTTTCCCTCTCTCTGCATTTTCCTTGTAGGAAATTTTGGTTCAAAGAATGTCATGTGGAAACATTTTCTTTGCTGCCTGTGCCAGGGTGGCAGGGGAGCTATTTCAGACTTGACATTCTCCACCCACACTCAGCCTGATAGTTCCCAACATCTGTGAATTGTGAATCCTGTAAACTCGCGGGGCTGATCCCTGGCCAAGTCCAAGCAGCTTTTGCTGGAGTAAGTGGCATTTGCCACAGAAGAGAGGCTGAGAACGAAGTACATATTTATTAACTGAAGTTCAGGGTTCTCTCACTGCTGGACACTGATTCCCCTGCCTGGCCTGTGGAGGAGCAGTAATACGAAACACCTTCCTCCTCTTAGGCTGAGCCCTGGAGTAAACACCATGCCTTGTAGCCTGCATCATTGGAAAAGGAATGTGGAAATGTCCAACACAGGCTGGGCTGCAGAGGGGAGAGGGGGAATCACACCAAGGCTTGTGTACAGACAATACAGCCCAGGGAGCACAGCCACAGAGCAGCTGCATCTCCTTCTGTTGCTGAGATCAGGGCTGTGCTTAACCTTATGCAGCCACCTCTCCTGAGGTGGCAAATATGTCCAGGGAATCGGCAAGGAGGGCTAGGGGCCATCGCAAACTTGTGGCCTACACTGCCAGTCTGGCTCTGGTCTAGGCTTTGGATATCCACCCTTAAGCAAAGACCCAGTGGGCATGTCCTCTCCCTGGACAAACCATTTGAGCAAGAGCTTGGGTTCATGCTCTCTTGCTCCAGGACTCAGTTTCATTATGCACCTGTGGGTGTGAGTATAATCTGCTTGGCTGTGAAGATATATGTAGGCACTAGGCTGAGCTGTGGGTACACTGCTGAGACCTCGTGTTTCCTTCTAGACACAAACCAGAAGTTTGTTGTATTTCTTCTACCATGCCCATGGTGGGACTAGCCATTACCTCTGCAGGCCTATAAAATGACCATTTATTCTGTGCTCTCCCAAAAGCCTGGGAGAGCTCATCTTTTCTGATGGATTTCAGCCTTAAAGGCATGAACCTTATGCAAAAGAAATGCTGTGTTAAAATGGCTCTTCTTGTGAAATCCTGCTCTACCTATTTCTCCATAGGAGCTGGAGAAGGGTCTTTCCCAGCATTGCCAGAGTGCCACAGTCAGCACATTGGAAGCATGGAAAAGCTGGACAACTCCTATCCAGAGGCTCATACCCACTCTCCTGCTTCCATTGTGTTGGCTCTGGCACTCTGGCTGGCCTTTACCTCCAAGGGTGAGCCTGACCTCTGGTTTTCACTACCTCAGCTCTGCACAGTGTATGCTGAACACATCTAGCAACCCTGCAGTCAAGAAGAGGTATTAGTCTCCCTCCAGCTCACAACTCACACCAAAAGAATAACTTCTCCTGAAAAAAAAAACCAACTGAACCCAATTAATTTTAAAAAGAAGCACCACATAATTGTAATGAGAAATAGTTGCTTGGAGCAGCACTCTCACTTACAAGACACTGATGAGAAGGGGTGTCTAGCAAGGACATTTCCATAAAGCTTCAAAAGAGACTACCAACTGCCCAAGATTCTTAAGAGCCCTCATGCCTGGGGCTGGGCAAATGCAAATCTCTCATGGTTTGGCTCATTTTGGCAGCACACACAGCACCTGGCTGCTTTTCCCAGAGAGCTGGACATTTTCAGCCTCCCACAGAAATCTGGACATGTTCTGAAGTAGCTTAGAAGGCCTATGTTTTGGTTTTTCCAGCTGTAAAACAGAGCCATGAAAACCCACTGGTGATAGTGCATTAAAACCACCTGCAAAAGCCAACAAATCTCCTGATTTCTCTCCCCAGCCCCAGCTTCCTTCCTTCCCCATGTGCACAGCCACATTCAGCTGTGGGTTGGTTCACCATAAATTTAGGCAGAGATATCTACCATTGCAGTTAGACTGTGTTAAACTCCTCTCAGCTGCAAGGCACTCCTTTGCATAGCACAGGATGCAGTGGAAATGCAAGCCACAGGGTGTGTGCGTGTGTGAATTGCCAGTACCCCATACATAGCTGGGAGGCTCTCAAGGCTCAGTGGTATTGGGCCAACCTCATTTGCACTGCCTTTAAGAAAATCTACTGAAAATGGAGCCTGAGACACTCAAGATGTGATGACTTCAGAGATGGTCTGTGTGGGTTCATGAGGACTAGCAAACTTTACCATGGCAGCCTGGGAGCACAAGCAAGGGGACTTCCAGTAACAGAACTCAAAGGTAGCCAACTCAAGAGGAAAAGGAGTGTGTGATATCCTCAGTGTCCACTACCCTTCCTAGGAGAGTTTCCTTGATGGTAGCAAGGGTGATGCTAAATGGCAGCAGGCACGTGTCCTGCAGAAGCAGGGCGGAAGCCTGGGTGTCAGGGATCTGTCTGGCTAGCGGATTTACAGCCAAGCCTCTAGTGCCTGTGGTAAGCAGACGGCACGGGGCTATGCAGAGGAAGCATGTGTGTAGGTGGGCAAGAATGCAGGGCATTGCTCTGCCACTGCTGCTTGCACGTCTGGGAGAGAAAAACAGCCAAAGAAACAGCTGTGGACTACTCTCCCATTACTCCTCCTTGCATCCTCTCTACAGCTTCCCATGAAATGACCACGAGCTTATGTTTTAGCAGAGGCAAACGTTTATATCCTTGGGAGGAGACTGCTGGGGATTTATAATGGTCTCACCACCAACAACCAAACCCAGTGCCACTATGCCTGTGTGCCAGCCCATTCCTGAACAAGGGTGAAAGGGAAAGACAGTTTCCTGGCATTTACGTGGCTCCAGTCCTAATCTATGGGCTTGAGGACCTCTGAACAGCTTGGAGCTGGGGAAGACAGGGAAGGGGAGATGCCAGCTTTGCTCTGAGATACCTTTGCAACTGCTGGCTTCATGACTTGCCTGGAATCAGCCCCACCCTTTGCAGCAGGGGATGAAACGTTTCATTCACAGCTTGGGGTTTCCAGAGGAGTGGCTGTGGTCGTTTTGGTTGGGGTTTTTTAAGTTAAAATGATTTTCTTTTAAGAGCAAGAAGCCTGTGGGATATTTGGGGATTTTTTTTTTTTTGTTAGAAAAAGATGATGAGAGGGAAATAATTTTCTCCCACCAGCAATAAAATGTCTTCAGCTTGGCTAACCAAGGGAACAGAAAGACACAATGTCAGTGTTCCATTGAGAATATTTTCCAATTGCAACTAAATATTACAGATGTTTGAAGATATCAAACATATGAAGATTTTAGGAGTTTTGTGAACAGAAGAAAATAGAAGAAAGAAATCTTTTCAGTAACTTCAGTGAAGGGAAAGAGGCAACAGGAGTATGACCCTCACAGTCTTTGGAAGATCTACTTGAATGCTGCAATGGTGGAAAAAGCTTCCATAACAATTCACATCTTGCTTCCAAATGAGCCATTCTCTGATCCCACTGCTCCAGAAGTGCCAGCTTTCTGGCTTTGGGCACATACAAGCTTTCCTCTGCCTCCCATACTGAGAAACAATGGACAGGGAAAATAGCAAACTGAAATAAATTAATAAATATAAATAACACAATTCTACACACCATCTTCCCTATTCCTCCAGCACCTTTTGTCCCTAGTGCAAGCATAAGTCAGTAATAAATGTACTTATACCCCAGCCCCTCCATACTGGCACTGTTGGGCATAGAGGGCTCAGAGCTGCTGGTGGGACACAAAGAGTTGCAGCTCTAGAACAGCATTGTGCAGATGAAGCTGCAATGTCTACGTCTCAGGGCATGTTTGGTCAACAGTGGCTAAGCATGGGCCCAGAACAAGTGACAACTCAGTGAGTGAACAGTCCAGCACAATCCTAAGCACATCTAAAAAGAAGATGACAGGATGTCTTAATGTACCACTCCCTACATCCTCCTCTTCCAGCTAAATTTGAACATATCAGTGCTAACAACTGTGGACTTTAAAATACACACCAGACTCAATCTGCTGTCCACATGTGATACCATGCACCTGGAGCCCTGCGCTATCCTCATCTTGGCCATCAACTGTTATATAGAGCTAGAAAGAAACAAAAGGGATGTTCCAGTCCCATTCAACAGGACAACAGGAACTACTTTCAGAGCTTTCTGGTTGCCTTCGATATCTCCTCCATCACATATGTAGTGATAGAGCATCATCCAGTCACAGTGAAGGACTGTATATTTTGATGTTTTCCTTTGTAAGT